GCAGGGCTCTGAGGGGAATTCAGCCTGTTAATTAAGAGCTTAATTACCCAATAACGAATGGTGGACTTAGCTCTGCCTTGAAGCAGGCCAAGCGAGTGAAGTGCCCTCAGGGAGGGCCAGAGGAGGTGAGCCGAGGGCAGGCTTTGCCTTCTGCCGTGTTTAGGAATATTTGAAAGATTTGTACATGAAGAGAACAGAATTCTGCAGCCCCCTCAGCATCTCTGTCCCTGCTGTCTCCAAGGTGCCAGTGGGAGGACAGGGGTGGGCATCACTTGTCCCTCCAACGGTACAATGTGCCCCAGGCACGGGGTGGACTGCGGGGTGGGCATTCCTGCTGATGGAGGAGGGAGGGGAGTTTGCGAGCTGGAAAGGGAGAAGAATTTCCTTGGCTTGGTGTGTTTTGCTGCAGAAAGGCGGTTTCAGCTCCAAGGGTAAGGGAAATGAAACAGAAAAATGCTTCCTATTAAGCAAAAAGGGATGGAGAGCTCTGCGTAATAGTGCTGTCTGCAGGGGCTGCTCGCTCCGCATCCGCATCCAGCCAGCGCCCGGAGGGAGCCGCGCTACGCAGGCGGGCTCAGGGACACGGGGACCAGCCCCAGCCCCACAGCTCCGGGCTGGGGCCAGCCACATCCACGGCCACGGATGGCGGGCAGTGCTGGGGAGAGGGTAGGTGGGTGTTCTCTATCCCTGTGGCTCCCTGGGCAGGTCCCATGAGGAGACGGGGATGTCTCAGCTCAAGGTGTGGACTGAGTTGGGTCTAAGGAGCTGCTGGAGGGCGTTTGGCCAATGCTCATAGCGTGTTCTGAAGCTCTCCTGAATGTTGGGATGTGGGCAGCGCCAGCACATCCTCTTGCCCTGCCCTGCCCTCATGGACCCAGAGAACAGCCCCAGCAGAGATCCCAAACCCCACAGGCACCCCTCGCCCAGGGCACAGCTGTGGTTCTTCATCAGGGGATGTTCTTCCCCTTTGCTGTTAGATTTTTGTAAAAGCCCCAACAGACATAGCAGTTTCGTGGCAGGAAGAACAACATTCATTCTGGAGCTTTCCCAAGTAATTCATCCTCTGAGAAATTAATTATCAGCACCGGGGCTGCATTTAATCAGCATCAGTCCCTGTGTGCACGGGGTCGCAGGGTTTTGCTGCCTCTGCCTCCAGCGGCTCCGGGTTCCTGCAGGCAGGGAGGAGATCTGCTGCTGCCCGTGGGATGGGAATTGTGAACAAGGAGAGCAGATCCATCCGGGAGGCCCTGACAGCTGTGCAAACACCCCCGGGGTAACAGCACCTGCCAGCTACACCCGGAGTGGGTGGAGTGATGGGGCAGCTCAGGTGCTGAGAGCGGCTCCGACGCCCACACAGAAGTCCCAGGGTGCTCATTGGGCTGGGAACAGGAATAGAGCTCTGGAAACAGGGCTCTGTGACCCCCATGCTGCACTGAGAACACCAAACCCACTCAGGTGGCGGGCACACACATGCGGGTGCAGGTGTGTGGCACACCGGGAAGGTGGATGTGACAATGTCTGAGAGCTGGGGGACACGGGGGCATCTGTTCCAGCAGAGCTGCCTCTGGCAGCTGTTTCCTAACAAATGGTGTTTGGTTTGGTGGAAGAACCTTAATGAAAGCGGTGGCTGCTGCAGGAATGGGGAGGGGAGCGCCTGCCTGAAGAACGCTCTGGGGGAGGAAGGAGAAGAAAAAGACAGAAGGAGCTTGGACGTGTCCTTTGGTCATGACCTGACGGCTCCTTGCAGGACCCACATCTCCCTGCCTGGCCAGGGGCACCCGGCTCTCCAGAGCCTGCCTGGTGGGGTCTTGGGCCACCAGGAGAAGGTGTGCTAGTGGTGGGGGGAGAGCTGAGGGTGCACTTTTGGGAGGTGGGGCGGATGAGGGATTTTGGGGACATCTGCCACCGTTGAACTGGAGAAGCTGGAGGTGCCTTGATGTGGGGACGTGTTTCTGTCATACTTGTGCCCTCTAGTGGCTCCGTCCTCTCTCTCTGGTCCCTTTGGCCACCATCCCAGTGGCACGGCCATGCCGCTGGTCTCATGGCCACCATCCTGCAGTGGCCGGGGTCAGCCTGTGCCGCTGGCACTGCCAGCCTTGGCGTTCTTGGCGCTGGGGAATGAGGGCAAGAAGGGTTTAGCCGAGGCCAGGAAGGCTCCTGATGATGCCTTCCCCATGGTCAACTCCTTCATGCTGCAAGGGAGTGCTTGTCCTTGGTTTTCAAGATGCTTTGGCATGGAAATGTAATTTTTAGATTTGTGGGGAGGGAATGAGTTCCATAACCTTTCCAGAGGCTTGATTCTCCAGCCAAAACTGTTTGGTTAGTGACCCTAAAATACATTTTATTCCAGCAAATCCAATCTTGAGATTTCTAACACAAAGTTTCTCATTTTCCACTGCTCGGGGCTGTTCTCTACCTTTCTGTTTCCTCTGTGTTTAATCACATGACAGCATGGAAAAAAAAAACCAACACAGTTTTTTCTCATTCTACTGATGTTTCCCTTTTATCTAAAAGAAATAAAACGCTCCTTTGCCTCTGGCCCGTGGCAGCCACCACGTCTCAGCTGCACTCCTGGCGGACAGGATGCCTGGATGCCCTGAAGCTGCTCTTGTCTCCCGTGTGCTCCTCTCCTTCCCTGTGTCTCCTCTCTGCAGGTTTTTGGACCCTTCCCAGAGCTGTGGCAAGGATGGGAAAGGTGGTTTGGTGGAAGAAGCCCAGCCAGGCACTGTGGGTCCCTGGGGTGGCTGGCGGAGGGAGGTGAGGATTGGGTACCATTTATAGGGGCAGTGGGAGCTCCTGTGTCTCCTGCAGGGGGACAGAGATGTCCCCACATACTTGGCAGCCAGCCCTGCCTGTGCTCCCTCCACTAGCAGGGGATATTTCCTATCTGAGAGAGCAGATGTTGGTTAGGAGCTTCCTAAGCAGTTTCTCTTCCCTCACAGAATTGCTGCTTGGCGAGAGAATTAAATTCTCTTTTGTTGTCAGTTTAGAGGAGAACAAAACCAAATGTCACCTGGAGAAATTCTTGCTGCTGCACCCCCAGGGAACGGAACGGCTGCCTCAGGACCAGGATTAGCCCATCACTGAGAAAGCAAATGGTCCCTGGGGGGATTAGACAGATGATCGATGGTGGGATTAGTTTGTGTGGTGGCTGCGGTGACAGCAGCGACCCAGAGCAGCAGCTCCACCCTGCCTGTGCTTGCACTGAGCCAACCCCTCCCCGGCGCATCCCCGTGGTCTCTGGGATGGTCCCTGAGCAGTGTCAGCCCAGTGAGGAGGGGCTGCTGCAGCCAGCACTGCCACAGATGTTCTGTATTTTGGATTTCTCCCCCTTCCAGCCTCGTTAGTATTGAAATTAAAAGCAAGTGTTTGTGAATTGGTAGCTGTTCTCCAAGACCCTAATTAGCAAATCTCTTCATCCCCTGGGGCTGCAATCTAATAATCAAAAAAAGAAAACCAAAAAACACCAAAAAAACCCCCAACACCCAAACAAGCCCCAAACCTTGTTTGATGGATCGGGAGTGCTACTGGAACAGTAGGAAACGGCTCTTCCTGCTTAGTATGGTAATTAAACACTTCAATTGCAATTATTTTTGCAATTAGATAAGTCTCTAATTGTTATCATAGGTGGCAGGGGTTTGGGTGTGTGTTTGCCAGTTCTCCGAGCTGGAGCGGAGCGTGGATGCTGCAGGCGATTCAGGCCGGCTCCTGCCGGGTTTGTTTGGGGAAGAAGAGCTCTCCCTGGGCTCCTCTGCAGGGATTCGGCTCCTGCTGCTCTGTAAAGCTGCTGAGGAGGCAATTTCTCAATCTGCTCTGGGGGTCCCATGGCTCCTTATCCCAAAGCCACACGAGGGGACCTTGCCTGCCAGGGCATCATCACCTTGCTGGGGATGTTTCCTTGCCCACTGATGCTTTGATGGGATTTGGCTGGGTGCTGGGAGGCACTGGGGCTGCAAAACTCCCCTTTCTCAGCTTTCCTTGCTCTTTGGGTGCTCTTCATTAGGGGTGGAAGATAGTGCAGAGGTGGCAGATGCTGACACCCGGTGCCGTGGTGGCTCGGGGGGTGTCGAGGAGTGAGTGGGGTGCACTGTGCCGGGTCAGGGAGCCCAGCCCCACCCTGGGGGATGACAGTGGGTGACACCCAAGGTGTGGCCAGAGCTCGGGGCCGGTCCGTGCCCGCAGCAAGCAGGGGGAGCTCCGAGCCAGCGGTGCCGCGCCTGGGGAATGGCAAGGTGTCCCCTGCTCCATCAGCTCAGGGATCAGGGAGGGATCATCTGGTTGGTCCCAGATGTGCTCTGAGGGGCGCCAGCCTTGCCCAGGGAAGCTGTACCTGTGTCTTGGGTGTTTGTGCTGTGTGTCCAGGTTCTGTCCCAGCAGAGGGATGGGGATGGGACAGCAGGGTGGAGCAGGGCAGGGAGGCTCTTTCCAGGAAAAAGTCACAGAAATCAAATATCTCAATTTCCTTTTGTCTTAAATAGATTTTTATATCACTGGTGATTTCTGCACAGGCTCAGGGCAGAAACATCCTCTTTTGGGAGCCTTAGCATTGAGCTGCTGGGGACGGCAGAGCCTGGGGCAAACCCTGGCTGCTCAGTGTCTCCCCAGCAGGCTCCAGGGCTTCTCTTTGCCTTGCAGTAGGGCTGGGACAGGTGGTGTGCTGCAAGGACAGCCCCAGGGATGGGAGACAGCCTTGCCCCAGCAAGGGGCAAAGGACTGGGGTGTCCTGTGCATGGACATCCAGCACTCGCGGCTGCCAACACCCACCATGCTGAGCCCTCCTGCCACATCATCCCACCTACCAGGCCCTTGTCCCCTCTGAGAGGTGAATACATCCCTAGGACGCCAGGGAAGGTAGTGCCTGTGTTGCCTTTCTCCATCCTAGGCTGGTCTGCCTGGCACCAAGACCCCCACAGCAGCCCCTCTCCCCCTCCAGCCCGTGCCCTTGCAGCCTGACCCACTGCCATGGGTCTGGAGAGGGCATTCCCATCCCAGCCCTGCTTCCTGACCCAGCCCCTCAGGCATCTCTTCCTGTTGGTGTGAGGCTTGATGCTGAAAGTGTCACTGCCCAGACAGGACAGGGGAGATGTTCTTCTGCAGCTCCTCCAAGGGCTCTTCCAGCACACCACCCTCCTGGGAAGACACTGGGCGGGCAGAGGCCTCTCCAGCAGTGTTTGGGGATGGAGTGAATGCCACGTGCCAGAGCAGGGATCCTGCAGGGGAACACAGAGGGTGATCAATGGCTTTACAGGATGCAGATGGGCCCATTTCCCCCCCTCTCCTGCTCCTCAGTGTCAGGGTGCTGCACTCAGCACCTCCGTGCCTGGAGGGGACTGTGGTGTGATGCTGTGAAGATGCTCTCGGCATCCTCGGTTAAATGCTGAGTGCTGACATTTGGGTAGAGCTGAGCAGGCTTGCATCACCCCAAGACCTATCACCCAACTCCCCTCTGAGCAATATCACTTTGCTTTGTGGCTTTCTCTGCCTGTTCTTCCTGTCCCTCGGGCCAGCTAGCAGCAGGGGCTGAGCTGTCAGTCAAAAGTTGATGTCCTGGAGCTGGCAGTGCTCTGCTCCCGGGTGCTGCTTCTCCCATGGCCCGTCTCCCTGCTCTGGGTCAGGGAATTTTTTGGTCAGGTACTCTTTGTTTGGGTATCCTGTACAAGGTGACATTTCTTGTCCCCACCCCCATGGTGCAGAGAGGAAATCTGTGGTCTCACCAGGACCTCAGATCTCCTGCAAACCTCTTCTCCAGACCTCTGCTTCATTCTGCTGATTAGATCAGCAGCCTCTCAGGGGATGGCTGGCATTTTGACTTTACTCATAGAAACTACATGTGTCTTAGAACATATGCCCAGAGATGGAAAGCACGAAGCAGAGAGCTGGAAATGGTGTCCCCCTCTGCCTCTGCTGCTGGGCAGTGACAGCAGCAGAGATGAGTCTGCACTGCCAGGGGGGTGAGAAATGTGCCTGCCCTGGGGACCTTCACTTTGTGCTCTGTGGTTTCCAGACTGGAGGGTTCACTCTGCTCCTCCTGCAGGGCAGCAGTGATGCCTCCCCAAACAGCAGCATCTGCATCCTCCAGTCCTCTGGTTGTCCTTCTGCCGCTGGGCAATGGCATTTCCAGGGTCATTCACAGGGAGCACCTCTGAGAAGTGCAGGTTTATGTTGCACCCCAGGGCAGGGGGTCCCTGTACTCCAGCTCTCTCCAGCTGTGTGTGTGGACAGACAGCACCAGCTCTCGTTATTGCTGTGACCTTGGCTAAGGTTAGAAATGTTCAGGGTGTAGCAGGGAACAATTGTGCCCAGCTTCCACAGGTGAGTGACTTTATTTCCCCCCCACACCAAGGCGCAATCAATATGGAGAGCCCAGGCTATCAGCATGTGGAGGTCACGGTGACCTTGCCTGACTTTTCCTGAGAAGGGCTGCACAAAGTGGGCTCTCTGGAGCTGAGAGGCATCCCCATGCATGGCAGTCGTGGCCTCCAGCCCAGCACCACTTTCAGAGAGCAGCACTGCCTGGTGCAGCATCAGCTCTTCACCTCGGGAGCCCTGCCAGCATCTCCGCCAAAGCTGCTGGCAATTTGTGTGGATGTAGGCTTGCATGAAAATGAAGTGTGCTGGGAATTCATGGTCTGAATGCAGCTGCCTCTGCAGTGCATGAGGGACAGGCAGGATGCAGCCTCTTCCTGAGCATCTCAGGCTCCTTCTATAATCCCAGAACTGCAGGGCAGCCACAGAGGGGGCCCCAGCTCTGTGCACCTCCCCTGGGTGTGGGATTTGGTTGGAGAGCAACCAGTGATGGATAAAGGAGTGAGGATGCATCTCTAATGGTATCACCCTTTGCACCAGGTACCATCAGGAAAGGATGCCTGCACCAGGTAAAATGCAGTGGATGCCACAGCAGGGAGATCTGCCTCCTCTTTCATTTTCACTCAGTGACCCTGGCCTTGTACTCACCCTGCAGCTCTCGCCTCTGCTGTTGAGTTTCAGGCTGAGGAAAGCTGAGTGTTGTCCTTTCAACCTCACACACAGGATTTTGGAAGAGGGCAGCCAGGAGTTGAAGGCTGGGAGATGTGGGTCCTAGGGCAGCAGGCTGGCTGAGACTCACAGAAAAGCTCCCGTGCTGGAAAGGTTAAATTGCACATGAGGACAGAAAAAAGAGAAAAAGAACAGACCAGTCTGTCAGTGCCAGCCTGGTTGAGCCTGGCTTTGCTCTGTGAAGCACCACAGTGTCTGCCTGAGGCTGGCAGCTGGGGCAGGCATGTTCTGACTAGGACAGTGACCCTTCCCAATGGGAACTGGCTTCTCCTCTGCCATATATTGTGGCCATGGTCCTGTCCCAAGCTGCTCTAAGCACAGATGACATGCAAGAATGTGATCCACAGCCACTCACTCAGCTCCAGCAATTTCTTCCCTGCTGTTAGTGCTGAATGCTCCCTCTCACGGGATTTTAATATCTCGGAACATCAGGGTCTGGTCTCAGAGCCTACAGCCATGAGCATGGAGAGCACCAGGTCCCTTCAGAGCCCTGTCCCACTGCACTGAGGCAGGTTCCTGAGGTCCTTTGGTTTTCTTTACTGGTTTTGTGTGAGTTGCCTTCCTCTTTGATGCCTGGTGGGGAAATGGGAGCAGCTGTCACCCCCCTGCATCTCTGCTTGGCCCTGTACTCTCTGCCCTACCTTGTCCTCACTCATGGAAATGCCCTCCAGCCCCCAGCTGCTGTGGAGGTCCCGTGGATTTTTACTCCCTGCCTTGCTCCTGACTGAGACTCTGAGTGACCCCTGAGACTGGCTGCAGTTCTCCAGTACTTCCACTCTTTGTTTGTTAGTCTTTTCCCTATGCCTCATAACTGAAAAGAACATTGTTATTAAGGGCAATGGTTCAAAATTCTGATTTCCCTTGAATAATCCCACGGAGCTTCTCTGAGCAGAGCTCTTCCGAGCTCTCGATGTTCTTATCTGGGGGGTTGTGAGTTTTTTTGAATGATTTATGTTGGTCTTTTCCTGTTAACATGTTCAGGGCAGATGACTTGGAACGCTCTGCAGAGAGGAAGTGGGGAGAGGAACCAGCTCGGTTTGTGCTGGGGGTGAAATTGGCTGCCAGGTTTTTGGTGAACAGGTAAATCCTGTGCTCACCTGTCTTGTGTGGTATTAGTTGATCCTGATCATCTGCCAACAGCAGATCTTTGTGTATCTGACTATGGAAAAAAGGGAAGGGACCACATATGATCACTGGTGCATCATTGCTGTGAGGTGAGAGGGCTACGAAGAGAAGGAGAGAAAGTCACAGCAGGTGCTTGAGTAACTCTTATCTGATCGTGAGCAGAAACCATAGTGGTGATGCTCTGTAGGATGGGGGGAACTCTCCGGATTTAGAAAGGTCAAGAAACTTCCCCTTGCTTGAGTGTTCCCTCTGGGGAACCAGGGGAAAAATCTTTTCCACGTGGAAAAGCTGGGAGGGTGAAAGCCAGGAAATCAGTGACCCTGCCCTCTGCCTGAGGAACAGAAACCCATTTTTCTTCCCCTTTTATCTCCCTCCAAGTAATTATTGTCCCTTTGTGGTAAGGCATAATTTTGAGAAGACACTGACATTTATATTCTCTTCTCTCTTGGCTGTGCAGGGAAATCCTGACAGCCTGTTCCCCATCACCAGCTCTTCTGGTTCACCTGCAGAGCCTCAGTACATGAGCTCCTGGTTTGCCCAGGGGCTGCACTTCTGTGTGAGCAAACAAGATAGCTCTCTTTGTCTCTGTATATTTGCAAAAACACCCTCACCACCTTAGACACATGTTTTCCATATGACTTAATAGACAACCTACAATTTACCAAATTTTATAACTTTGGGCTCTTCATTAATTCCTTGGAAACGGAAAAAGGCAGCTCCAGGACCTGCATGCTTGTATTTGTTCACATTAATCCATCCCTTTGTATCTCTTCTGCTGCCCCCCTCCCTTGGGTAAAGTCACATTGGTGCCCTGAGGGAGGCACAATGCTGGCTCAGTCTTTTGGATAGTTCTGAACTTTGGTTCACCTCCCTGAGTTCTCCTTTTGGTGGCTTAAGACTTTCTGGGGCAGGATCAAGGGCACGTGCTGCAAGAACGCACGAGCGCAGCTCCTTTGCTGGCACGCGGGGAGCAGGGAATCAAAGGACTCCTTATCTATGGATGGAAAGTTTCTGGGCTGCTTATCAGGCACTGCTCAGAGGTTAGATTAGTCTCAGGAGCAGCAGATTGACAGCCTGCCTCTCCGTTCTCCTTGTGCGTGGCTGAGTGAACACCTTGGAGTGAGGCAGTGAGAGGGTGGCACAGCCCCATTGGGATGTGGGTGCCCAGGGAGGGGGCTGGGGAGACAGCCTGGCACAGAACTTGCCCACTTCGCTGCCATCCTGCTCCCTCACCACACCCCTTGGTGGGACTGACCCCCGTGACGTGCTTGGGATGATCCTGAGGGAATTTTCGGCTCTAACTTTACATGGGTATTTGTATTTTTAAAAACGTCTGCCAACCTAATTTGGGTGACTGCTGCCCCTTTCCAGAGATGGGAATGAAACTTGCTGTTGGCTGAATTCACTGCTGATGCAAAGCGATGGCTGAAATGCTGAGGATGTGTGGCTTGGACAGGAAGGGAAGTGGCTGAGCTGCTCTGCAGGGAGCTGGGAATCCAGATCTTGGCTCCTGCAGGGACTATCAGCCTGGCTGCAGGTGCTCTGACTGTGCCCCAGAACTAATTCCCATTTTCTCCTCTGTGATGGACAGTCACTTTTCCTGGCCCCTGAAGCTCTGCTCTGTGTCACTGGGACATGGCTGATTTTGGGGAGCAGCCCCAGCTAACAGCTTCACCCTGTTCTGTACAGCAAATTCTGGTGGCAACTGTCCCCATTAACCAGCAAAGCCAGGGGACATTTTGTGCTCCCTGTGAACAGTGGCAATTCCAGGGGAGGAATTCCATATGGGAAGCTGGAGTACCTGGAGTCGTGCTGCAGGCATGGAGGGGATGTAAACTGGGCTCCTGTGAGTCGTGATGAATTTCTGAGTGGCTGAATTTAGGAGTTGCCTGGCCAAGGATCTCCTGCTGGGGTACCATTTGTTGCTTAAAAGTCCATGGACAATATGGGGTCCCCCCTCTGCCTTCCTCTCTGGGGACAGACCTACCATCAAAGTGCCCAGTGTAGGGAGGCTCTTACCTCTTGAGAGCTCCATCAGTGAGCAGGGTCCCCTTCTCGTTCCTCACCTCCAGTTTCAAAGGTTTACCCTCCTGCCTGCCCTGGCCCTGCCTGCCCCTGGGCTGGGCCTTCTGGAGGGGAGGCAGGTGGGAGTTCCTGGGGTGTCCTGTCCTCCAGCAGTGCAGCAAGTGCTGGTATGCCAGTCGGAAATCCCTGTTGAGTGTCCCATAGAGGATGGGGTTCAGAGCTGAGTTGGCATAGCCCAGCCAGAGCACAATGGACATGGGGGTGCCTTTGACCCTGCTGTCCCCCCACACCCCCCGGTAGGTGAACACGGTGAAATAGGGGAACCAGCACACGATGAAGGCTCCCAGCACCACTGCCAGCGTCACGGTGGCTTTGTGCTCTTTCACCATGGGTGGCATGGGTGTGTTGCCCCACGTGTGGTTTATCCTCTTGGCTTGCTCCCTTGCTATCTTGAGTATCCGGTAGTAGGTGATGCACATGATGACCAAAGGGATGTAGAAGGTGAGCAAGGAGTCCACTAGCCCATACACAGGGTTCACTGCCAGCATGCACTCCGTGCTGCAGGTGGGGTCTGTGTCTTGCTCTGCTGTCCAGTTTTTGGTGTTCCAGCCCAGGTGGATGGGTAGGAAGGATACCATCAGTGAAACGGTCCAAATAACAACCAAAGCCACGGCCACCCGGGAGGGGGTGACCACCTGGCAGTAGCGGAGCGGGGTGGTGACAGCAAAGTAGCGGTCCAGGCTGATCATGAAGAGGTTGAGGATGGAGGCCGTGCACAGCATGACGTCCAGGCTGGTGTAGATGTTGCACAAAATGCTGCCAAAGGGCCACTCCCTGGAGAGTTCATAGAAAGCAGAGAATGGCAGCACCAGAAGGCCCAGCAGCAGGTCTGTGATGGCCAAGGAGACAATGAAGCAGTTTGTCAAGCTGCGGAGCCGGCGGTCGAGGGTGACGGCCAGGCAGACGATGATGTTACCACAGAGAGTGATCACGATGAGGATGGTGAGGCAGGACCCGACTACCAGCTGCAGGGGAAGGTCCATCCTTTTCTGAGAGCTTGTGTGGTTGTAGCATGGATCCATGGTGTCACTGCAAGGATGGAGCAGTCCTGCTCTCATCAGCTCCAAAGCTGCTTGGAGTGAGCCTGTACCAGGCAGGCCTAGAGCCCTTCCCAAAGTGACCCTTATCCTACAGTGACCTTGGAGAACATTAGAGTCACTTTACATGTTCAGCATTGTGTGCTGGGAATGACACGGTCTAGGAAGATGTGGAACTGCAAGTCATTTGTGCCTGTTGGTCCCCTCTGGGAGCTCAGTGCGACTGCTTCTTTTCCTTTCTTGCCTTCTCATTTCCTCTGAGTGACCATTGGGTCAGGTCCTTTGGGCTCTCATGCCCTCTGCATGTTTGGTTGATGACAGTGGTCAGCAGTGCTCCAGCAGGGACAGAGCTGCCTCCCAAGGATAACCTGCAGAAGAAAGTGTTTGTTGAGGCCCTGGCACAGGTTACCCAGAGAAGCTGTGGCTGCCCCATCCCTGGAAGTGTTCAAGACCAGGCTGGATAAGGCTCTGAGCACCTGGTCTAGTAGTGGGTGTCCCTGCCCTTGGCAGAGGGGTGGAATGAAATCTGTAAGATCCTCTCCAACCCAAGCCCTTCTGTGATTCTGTAATGGCATCAAGTCAGAGCTGCAGTGGGCAAAGACCCTTTGAGCTTCCCCTCAAACCCCTCCAGAAACAGGGTGTCTGTACCTCCCTGGCTGCTCCAGCCCACTTAAACCCAAATTGAAAAGTCCTTTGGCAGCCAGGCACCCGTGTTCCTGCCAGATGGGCCCTCTCAGCCCTAGAGGTGCCCATGTAATGTAGGGATGTTGAGAGAAGGGATTTTAAAACTGTCACATTTCCCATAGGCTCACAATAAAAGTGAGAATGAGGAAGATATGAGGAAACAATTTTACTGAGAAAGCAGTCCTTATGCAATCCAGCAAAATTAGTCACGACTATCCAATTTCTGAATCTTGGCTGTGACTGCCAATCTCATTAAACTTTGCCCTTGTATCTGTGCTTTGCAGCAGCCCAATGCCTAGGGTTGGTCCTTGCCATCACAAATCACAGCAGCTCCTGTAGCCTGTATAGGAAATCCCCACTCTACTCTGCATACTGGGAGGGAAGAAGAATATCCCTTGCAGATTTACTTTTTTTGGTTGTTTTCTATTTGGATACAAATAACAAATAGCCACATTTTGCAAGGGCAGAAACAACAGAGCAAACCATTCTAACTTATAAATGAGATGCTGATTATGGGGATCTCCAAGACGCTGCCACTACTAGACTCAAAGGGGACTTGTGTCCTTGACTGGAAGCAATATCTATGTTGGGAAGATACCTAAAGGGGAATTGAGGCAGTGCAGGGACAAGAAAGAGGGAAGAGGAACTGGACTGACTTGCTGACCCTCATGGATCTGCCCGTGTCCAAGCTGTGGTCTCCCACCAGGAGCTCCCCAGATGACATGAGGGGTGTCCCCATCCTCCTCAACGTGCTGGTGTGGGAGAGCTGCACTGGTCTCTGTGGGTGGTGCACGACCCAGCTCTGCAGGCTCTCTGCACCCCGTGGAGCAGCACTGAAACCTCCCCAGTGGTGCCCAGCATTGTGCAGGAAGGTGGAGCTGATTCTCTGTGCTGCAGAGATGGAGCACTCAGAAAAAACTCCAGGAAAGGAAAAGGTCCAGCCTTGTCAGAGGACAAAGGTGAGATTTTGAAGTTAAACTCCCCCTGCAACAACAAGATAACACTGTGGTACAGGTTGAAATATTCTTTAGATGATTTATGTCTTTGACTCAAGTCTAAAGGCAAGGGGGCCATGGGAGGGAGTCTACCAGGAAGACTGCATGAGTAACAACCACTGATTGCAAGGAGCCATACAGAGGAGAGATTGGGACTGGACCACTGAGATTAGAGGCGATTCCCACAGCCCTCCTGCTTCTAAAGGTATGGAAAGCAACAAGCCATGAACCAGCCCATGGGAAACCTTTTGCTGAGCAGAGCAAACTCATTGCGAGACCTCTGAGTTTGGGTGCTGGGACTGAGGCTGATGGGAGAGGGATGTGATGCTTTCAGCCATGGCAGCAGCATGTGGAGCAGTTCCTCACCTCCAGCTGCAGCACAGGCTCTTGCCATGGAAAGCTCTTTGTTCACTCACAAAAGGAGTGTGGAACAAGCTGAACGCTGCCTGCCCACTGACGGCAGCGAGGAGAACAGGTTGTTCCCACAGAAGGGTATTTCCAAGTGAAAGGGATGTGTTTTCATTGCTCCCAACATGTGGAAATGGCAGATTAAATTATAGGGGGAGTAGCACTCTTAGAAAAGGCTGTGGGTGGATGGCAGCCTCCTACGTGGCTGCTTCACCACACACCAACAACCTGCTCCTGCCTCTGGCTCTTGCAGCTCACTTGGGCTCTGCTGGTGGGATCCAGCCCTGGGCACAATCAGCCCATTGGACTTCTGCTGTGGTGCCAGGGCAGCTCCTGGTGCAGCCCTGCACTGCAGACGTGCCCGGGAGGAGTTTTGCTTCTTATTGCTTTTTCAGATTAGCTCAGGCCAAGGAATGGCCACTTGCAGGGGGACAGAGGTGTCCTCATCCCTGCAGAGGAGCTCAGGTAGTGCTGGGGGCTCTGTGGCTCCATGTGGGCTGCAGGGCTCAGCTGCCTGCAAACACTTGGGATGTTCCTCCATGGAATGGGGCAGGACCTGCCTCCTGCCAGCTTGGATGTGTGATGGTGCAGCCCTAACTGTGGTGGAGGTGCAGGAGACTTTCCTGTATCCCTCAGCCAGATTATCTCATGGAAACTCCCCCAGGAGAGCATAGCCTCTGGACATGGCTTTGCAGGAAAAGCAGACTGGTATAGAAGGGGGGCTGTCAGCTCAGTGCCATCAGGACACAGACCCCAGCTCAGAGCTCTCTCCTGGAGCATTGGCTCTCCGTGACTCCACATGTGCCCCTGGCTCTCTGCCCAGGTCACTCACAGCCACCTTCAATACCTGTGTCCTCTGCTCCTGTTGTGTTTTGGCAGAGCAAGTTGATTTCCTTCTTGAGGTACGAGTGGAGCAGCTGTTTCCTATGGCAGTCTTTCCAGCCACAGCCAGAATAAATGATACCTTTCCAGCCCTGTCTCACCAGGCAGCTTTTACATTTACCTGATTATGCTCATTATCACAGCCTGGACTTGCTCCTGGTTCAAAATCACCCTCCTGACGTTGAAGGAACCAGAGCAGGGTGCTGCTTCTGGGTCATCTTTCTTACGTCCTATGGTGTTTTCAGCTGCTTAGAGTAGCGATTTTTTTTTAGACCCTAAGCATGGGAGCTTGTGCCAGCCCAATGTGTTTCTGTTAATCTTCAGACCCTCTGGTTCTTTTCCTCTAGTACTTAGTCCGTTGTCCAGTGCAGAACTTTTCCCACATTTCTCACCCGTACATTTCTATTAAAGGAACCCCAATTTTCTGAGCCAAGATCACTAATGAAAACCATTAAAAAAAATTTACCTCTAGGCTGATCTTTAAGGAACTCTGTTAATAGCCTTCTCTGGTGCATTAATGATCCTTCTGCTGTAATATCCTAACGTCTCCCCATTATCCTCTTCACAATTCTCACAGTAATTTCTGCTTTTTCTTGCCTGAACAGGTATTTTCTGCTCTGTTGCAGTCCATGTTACATTTGATCCACTGTGTTCCCCTTTAAAATGGCATTTATCTCCTCTGAGGAGGAGGCTGTGATTTATTCAGGGAAAATTTCTGTTGCATTTTACCTTTTTATTCCTCCTCCCCATCTCTCAGCATCCTTTCCTCCAACATGATTGATTCCAGCACTTGGTGCACTTTTGCAGTAAGATTAATGGGATGCAGTGCCGGCTCCGGCAGGGAATGCATTGGCTGCTCTCCCTTCCTGTGCTTCCACTTCTGGCATAACAAGTTTGTTTTGAACCTGTTAAAAGCCTGGGTACATCGGCACCATGAGCAGACACATGGGCAGAGAGGAGCACTCAGGAAGTGCCTGAATGTGGCAGCCACACTTTGGGAAGTATTTCCCACTTCTGGAAAGGACAGAGGTGTGTGGAGGCTCAGCAGAAGCGCCACATGGAGCCTCTTAGCTCTGTCCTAGGGACAGGAGGGGTGTGCCCTTGCAGACCTGAAATGATCCTCTGCTTCCCATGATAGCTGCTTCCTGAGAAAAGTGCCTTCCACTTAGGAGCAAAGTGCATTCCCTGGCCATGCAGAGCTCGCAGCAGAGCATCATGGCTTTTTCTAAAATTATATTCAACTCCTTACAGAGATTGAACATCTGGGCATGCTGGGAGAGGTATTTTAGCCAAGAGACTGGCACGAGTGTGGGGGTTTCTTCTGGTCTGAGAGAGGGTGCTTGAGGTCTGATGGTGGGAATTGCCAAGCTCTCAAGCTGGGAATGGGCTTCTAGATCCCCTGCCAGGCCCATAAACCTGATTCACAATGAGACAAGAGCAAATTTGTCAGAGGTAGGGCTTGAAGGCAATGTGAGAGAGGACAAATGTGAGGGGACACTGGTGTCCTGCCTGGCTGCATCCCCAGACGCTTCTGTCCCTGTTCTTTGGGCTTCTCCAGAGCCTGGTGCTCTCTCTGCCCTATCCCAGTGTGATGTCTGATACAAAGCAGCAATCATTGCCTATTGAGGAGCTGAGGGAGGCAGGACAAAATTCCCATCGCTGCCACCAGCCCTCCATCATGTTTCCCCAGGAGGAAAGGGACTCTGTGGGTAAGAAGCTGTTAAGGACTCCTGAAATCAGAAAATGTGAAGAGGAATGTGGAAAAATGGAACCCAGCAGAGCAGTCAGCAAGTTGAAAGTTTGCTCAGCAGACAGTGTCCAGGAAAGATGAAACTGAAAACGGAAGTGTTGGGCTCATGGGTGTGCTTGGAGTGCCCGAGTTTCCAGGATTCAGCCTCCTGCTGAAGCTGATTTTGGACAGGGACAGCGAGCACTGTGCATCCCTGGGCACTGCCCATCCCTCCTGTGCTACAGCTCAGCCTGAGGCTATCCTGCCCTGAAGATCTGACCATGCTCTGTGATGGGGCAGCAGCAGATCCCCACCAGCTGCCAGGGTGTGCAGGGCTGGATGGAAGCGCTGGAGTGCTCAGGGAAAAGGCTCGGGCAGGTCAGTGTGAGAAGTCAGCAGCAACCCTCGTGGGGAGGCTGCTCGGGCAGAGATGCTGCACGCCACAGATGTGCAGGGCTCTGAACCCATGTCCTTCTTCTAACCCTGTTCTCAGATGTTCTCAGATCCAGCTGTCCCC